TTGCATAAAAATAACCCATAACCGGATATCGTAAAAATTTTCGAAAAAATCTTTTTTTTGTGAACGCGTTGCTTATAATAGTTATTGGCGCGATTTTAAATTCCGCAAAAGTCGGCTTTGGCCGTAATGCATTATAAATATGTTTATATAACAGTTAGTTGAAGTGACAGAAACATCCATATTATTCTAAATGTACTTCTTGCAATTACTGCCTTTGTGTAGCATCTTTAAAAATCATAAATTTTGTCCAGGTATTTAAAATGTAATTTTAATCTGATGCGTGGAAATGTTCATATATATGTTATTTTTCTTTTTCGTGCCAAAAGAACAGCATTTATCAGCCTATGTACTCATTCCAGTTGCATTACACCAGGCTTGGTTTTAACTGATTAATATGTGGCACTATATTATGTACGATGATAGCTCAGCCATCGGCGAAATGAAGACATCAACAATAATAATAACAATAATAATAATAAAATAAATATAAATATTAAAATATTATCAATATAAAAATATTATCAATAATTATTATAAATATTATTACATTAGTATTACAATGTCTGACCTCGAGATATTTAGCGTTTCTCGATTGTATGGCTCGTTCACCTTGTGTGTGTTAGAAGGCCCCTCATTATCATTTTCAACAATATCATTAACGTCTTCATCACCAAAGTTATCATCACCATATCAACACTATTATTATTATTATCATCATTATTTTTATTATTAATATAATTATTATTATTGCTAATATTATTGAAATCGTCAACACCATAACAATCATCTTTATAATAACGAAACCATAATTCTTATTACCCATTTTGATTATCATCATTAAAAAATGCATCTCCATTATCACAAACTTGAAAAAATTTCAGCTCGGCAGTAACATCTAACGGTTGTCATTTTACAAACAGATAGTGAATCGCTGTCAAGCTAGAATTTATTTTCATTCATTTATTCATTCATTTATTCATTCATTCATTCATTCATTCATTTATTTATTTATTCATTCATTCATTCATAAATTTACCCTTGTTATTGTTTGTTTGTTTATTTATTCATTCATTCCTTCATTCATTATTTCAACCAATAAGTCATTCATTCATATATTTGTATCTATTTTTGATCATCAGTCCATTCATTCATTCGTTCGTTCGTTCGTTCATTCATTCATTTATTTATTTATATGTAACTAACTAATTAATTTATTCATTTGTTCAAGTATTCTTTGATTTATTTTCTATAATCAATCTTAATTTTTCCTCATTAATTTAATTGTCTCATTGTCATTCCTCATTGTCTGTTCACATGGTTCTTTTATCGAAAAGCCTACTACCTTTATTATAATGGGATAAACTCGGACTGTGGCAAAAACCTTCGAAATCCAAGAACGACAATCAGGTAGTATCTGATTTAGCTTATAAATGCCAATATTTCCCAATTCAACACACAGTGAATCAATAAATGCGAGCATGCATTTTTACAGATGCAACATCAATTTACGTTACTTAAGCACAGACTGGCGGAATTGGAAGTTTTTAAAAAAAAATGTTAGGTGATACCATCGATTTACGGTATAAATTTTTATGAGAGTTTGTAACTTGGCGCGAAGAAGTTTACGACATAAAATTTTCAAAATATAATAGCAGCGAAAATGGCTAATTTTAGTACTTACATTTTTGTTACTCAGTTGGTTCCTGCCGCTCTTGCAGAGTGTTTGTTGGTCGTCCATTTGAAATCTGTTCGGCACGCACCAACCATCTCCAATATGTATTCCTTCCTGTTTGCATTTGTAACAACCGGATCCTGTATCAAATCGACCGTTCTTGGAAACCACAGCAAATCTTTGATTTCCTGTTTTCGTTAAACGAATGGAGCATGATTGATTATTATTTAAAATGAAACTTTTAACTATGCTGCTTGTTTATTTGATCGTGCTCTATCGTTTTTCATATATCTCCATACCTTGTTCTTATACACTGAGTTCTTAAAAAAAATTGAATAATTTTTAAAATTTGCACATTAATGTACCAGTCCCAATCTAAGTTATTTGATATTATATTAAGTATTTATAAGATATATTAATTAAACGCTCAGGCTTGCGATTGTATTTTGATTCTCATTTCTTAATTCGTATTTAACACTCTTATGTTTAATCTGCGTTTGCTTTTTCTGGCCCTTTTCTCTAAAAGTCTCAACTTCTTCCTAACTTTTCTAAAAACATCTTCATTCCTTACAAAGTTCAGACCGGATCTCAAGACCCTTGCTGTTTAAAAATTCACTGAGGAATGCTGTTGAATATCGCGGAAACGGCGCTTTATAAACAAGTTGAATGATTATCATTGATCGATCGATTGAAAAGCTTTAAGCAAAAATTAACTGAATAAACTTCTATTTAAATTTTAAAAATTATTATTATAAAAGTTATGCGTCAACCCCTTCACATGTTGAGTGCATAAACAACCCCCTTTGTTCAATTCTTCAGTTGATTTAGAACGTTTATCTATAAACGAAAGCAGTTTTTCTCTGTCATAAATTTCCATAAAATGTGAGTTGCAGATATTTTCCCGTTTTTTTCTGCACTCATAGCACTTTATTGGTCACTCATAAAAGTGGCAACTTGTCAATGAAACGAACCAGCAAGGAAAAAATTTATTAAAGACCGATCGTGAGGTACAAAATGCGACATCAACTATCAAAGATCTACGTACAAACATCCAGGTGTCTACAGAACGGAGGTCAGGGCAATGCCTGCACTTATGTACATGAAGGTAAATTTATAACATAAAAACTGGTTTTTATTATGGATAAGAAATTCTAAATCGACTAAAGAATTGACAAAAGGTGAATAATTTTGCTTTCAACATTTGAAGGAGTTGATGTCTCTGCAAACAATAACAACAAACAACAACAAGGGACAAATAACCACTCACAACATAGAAACAAGCACCTACACCTACACAAACAACCAAACAAACAAACAACGACAATCTAAGGACAAAAAACCAAAAACATACAAAATAAACTGACAATTGGCGAACAAATACCTACCACCGTCACTTTCGATGCAGATAGTTTCAGCGATATTTAATTTGGTTTCCTGATTGGCATTAATATGCGTCTTAACCCCATCAATAATTAATACGGTATTAAGTTCACTGACAAAGGAAACAGGAGTTTTGGGCCCATTAGCACCGATTTCCAGCTCCGAAATTCCTTGTCATCATAATATTTTTTTTGATATAATTTGCATTATTCACCGATTTATTTTTCTCATTTCAAATTTCCTCTTTTATAAGATATTTCAAATTAATGCTTGAACAATCTTGTTGCCCTTTTATCATTGAGGCTAGCGAAATTGGAAACTGGATTCGAATGTGAAGAGACTTCTGCTTGCTAACTGCAAGGTGCATGATGCTTGGGTCTGCTGTGCGTCCGCTGTTGATGCTTTTGAGAACAATAATAATAATAAGGAGAAAAACTGTAATAATGTTTTTCTAATATTATTGAAAAAATGTTATTATACCAAATTAAAAACATGGTTACCTATTTCTTGCACTGGCTCTGCGACATGGATTAAATTATTGTAAATATAAATTGTTATAATAGTTTAATTACATTAATTACTATAACTAAATAAAAAAATTGAATAAAAAAACTGTCAAACTGTCCTATAACTACAAAAAAAAATTGCCAAGTATTTTCAGTGTTTAGTCCCTTCCGTCAAATTTTTGCCTCCCCGTCAAAGTGGTCTAGATCCGCCCCTGGAGATAGTGAAACATAGGCACAAACTACACTCTACATAACACTAAAAGAATGCGACTCAAGTCAGCATTAAAATAATATCTAAAAGTTGTTCAATTAAAAGCATTAGTAACTTGGTCCAACCGACAAGTTTTTTTATAATCATTATTTTTATTTTCAATGCCTAAACATTCGTACCCCGTTATTTCTTTCCCGTTTTAAACCATCTTCATTTTTGTTACTGCCTTGCATGCTCTGACAGTTTTTGCATCCTTCAAATTCTGATTATTTTTTATAAGAATAATAAAATTAAAAAGTCGCCGATCTGATTTTGTACCACTAGTCCCCTTCGAGATGCGTAATTTTATAATATATTTACGTAGATATAGGTATATATATATATTATATATACACATATCTACTGACACTTAATTTTTAATCTAATGCACTCACCCATCCGTAGTTCAAAGGAGGGATTCATTCGTTGGCAGGAGTAGTCCTCCCCTATAGGTACCATCCCTGCAATATACTTAAGTGTCTCAATCTCGGTTCCTACCCCAATCTGGTTTTCTTCTTTGACGAACGACATCCCCCAGCCATGGGATTGGCCTTTTGTGTCCGAGCATGCATCGTCGTTTCTATAATTAGGTACGTACTTAAACGCTGACAGGGTCACGCAATCTACTACTACTAGTAAATTAATGATAATGAAATTAATGGTGGTAAAAATTAAAAAAGAAATTGCATTATCTTTGTTATTAGTAGTAAAAAAAAATAGTCACTCATGGTTACACCTCCAGCTACTATCAGTGTTGTACTGCTGATCTGAGTAATCAAACACAGAAGTCTTGCAAATAACTGTATTATTGTTTTTTGACGTTTTATGAAATTGTATTTTATTGTTATTATTTCCATTCTTTTCTATTGCTGCTAGAGTTGGGAACGAAACTAAACCAAACTCTGTCCCTACCGACGACCGTCTCTTTAACCGGTGAGTAGAATTATTGTTTTCAGTCCTGCACATAATTATTTTGTAATTTAAGCATAAGAGGTCACTGCAAACTGTATTTTGTAGTTTTTCGTTCGTCGTAACTACTAATAAAGTTTCAGTGATGTTCATTGCATCGTTTTTGTTATTGCTTAGTCAAGTCGAATCGAAGCCAAACGGCACACATGACCGAATAAAACCGAACCAGAACTTTAGATCATAAAGAACCCAAACTTCAAAATTGTTTGTTACTCGTGTCGTCATCACCTTCACCGTCATCAACACTAACATTTTCCGTGAGTAGTGACCTTGAAACAGACGTGGCCATATACCTTCAAGAAATCTTTGTTGGCTTCGTTTTGCCGCTCGCCATCCAGCACGAGTTCAGTATCGCAGTTGTGGTCGAGCCGGATTTTGTGGGAGGGAGGGTCAGGTTGTGATTCTAACTTTGCACCGCGGCACGGCTCGCGAGGAATTTCATCTGTTGTATAATGTTATTCTAATTCTACAATTAGGCCTATTGCTGCTGCTTCTACAACAACTACCACTACTAACCGTACTGCCGCTACTACTGCTGCTGCTTCTACTATTACTACTACTACTACTATTAATAATAATAATAATGATAATAATAATAATAATAATATAACATCCTTATTGTATATCTCCCGCTCGGCCGGGTTAAGCCTTCAACGGACTAAAGACAAAGCACCAAACCGGGGCCTTTATATTTTAGAAGTAATTCAACTAAAGTTTCCATGGTGTGATGTTTTGTTGATAACATATTTATTTCTTTTCTTCAGTTTTACAAATTATATAAATTTTTTTCTTATTAAAATCTGGCTTTTAAAAGTAATAACAAACTCATTTTTTCAATTATATTGTACTTAAATTACTTAACTAAAATTAATAAATAAATCTTAACTTTTCAGCTTAATCCTACAGTAAAGATTTTGGTAGAGTTGAACATCTGTCTGATATTGGTAAATCTTATTACTATCTAAGCGCTCCTCACGTGTGGGCACTGTCTGTATGTATGTGTGTATGGTTGTGTTTATGTGTGTTTGGGTGTGTGTATGTCTGTGTATATATAACCACTGTCGGTCTGTATGTGTGTATGGTTGTGTTTATGTGTGTTCGGGAGTGTGTATGTTTGTGTGTGTATATATAACCACACAGAAGCATAAACTTTGTACTTCAAACTCATCTGGTAGAAGTGATTATGCATACGGACATATTTTCAATTGACTGTATAATAATAAGCATAGCTAAAAGCATGTTCACGTATTTATGCGTGCATATTAATGTAATGTAAAGATATTTTTAAAGAACTTCCCCTACAAAACTTTGGTCATTTAAATTGTAATCGTTCCAGTTGTCACCAGGAAAGCTTTCCGAGCACTTAGTTTCATGAAAGTCAACTCCCCGTTCGCAAGATATAGTGAATTTCTGATGCTGGATCTGTTTTGGTTTCAGCTCTATAGCTAGAACGCTGGTGATGCTGAAAGGGTTCTGCAGTTTCGACGGAATGTAGCGGCCCGTGCAATCGTTTATTACGAAGGCCGGGACCTCTGTCTTCAATGTGCATTTTTCTCCGTTCTGTGCTGTTACAATTTTTTGAAGAAGAGAATACTAGGATGTAAAATATGAGGATGTTAGTTTTCGAAAAGTTTTTTTAATTTTTAGAAATTTAATTCATTCGCAAACGACATATTTTTGGTTTTTAAAATGCCAATTTTTGAAATAATTTTCTGCATAGCAAGTTTTTATTATTTTTCTGTTGGGTCATTATTTTTCTGTTGGGTCATTGGGTCATTGGGTCATGCTAACAATGTGTCATTGTGTGTGTGCTTCATGAAATTGAAAACATAAAAACATATTGGTACTTAAGAGCTTATAATGAAGAGCTGTAACGTAAAAAAACCTGAGCATCTATTGATCACCAGTAGCCAGCTGATGAGGCAGGTCAAGAGGATGGACGGTAGACTCATTTTTGTTTTCTATAAATACATAGAAAGCTGAATATTGTATAAAATCGCTTCAATGTGACGTTGTAAGAATTATTTATAAAACAGAGTTAGAAGTTTCTTGTTTTTTTTTTACTTTTGCATCGGAGAACTAAATTTGAATTTTAGGGAAACTTTTTTAATTAATTTTGATGATCGATAGTGAACGGAACATAAATTAAGTGAATATGAAATCCGCAGTTTTATCGAGATCAGCGAAAATCTTCCATGCGCTGAGGTCGTGCTTCTAATCGTACTTCGTATTCTTGTTTATATTCGTATGTATTACCATTCCATCTATCGCATCACCTAATTTCATAGCGAATAACTGAATGGCCAAACTTCAATTTAAAATTGTTTAAGGATACAAATGTTGAAAAAATACTTTTCAATATTATAACGGATTAATCAACATTGATAGGTTATGTCTTAAGTTTATAATTTTCTTCTAATTAGTTTTCATCTGGTCGTCAACATCACTTCAAGGATCTTCTAAGGAGTCGATCTCTTTCTGCATTGAAATTGTAAAAATTGGCTAAGGTAAATGTTGACAATAAATAAAGCAACAAAGATATGCTCATAATGTGTAATAAAATACACACACGCAAACACACACATATAAAACTAAGTAATCTGCTGAGCAAACGAAATGTGTAAAATGATTCGGTGATCACGTTCGTATAGTATATTTACAAATCGGATATACATGATTCAAAATATATCAAGTATACAAAGACAGCTCTAGCACACACAAGTGTAGGTATGAATGTTTTAGCTGGTTTTTTTATCGTAGCTAATGTTTTTAATTAAAGTTTCATAAAATGATTGTATTGAGAAAGTTTAGTTTGTCTAGTTTGGAAGGGGCGTGTAAAAGCTTCAATTGGGAAAATTGGAAAATGACTTTCTACAAGACAGACGGCTTGTTAGTATGTCTTTGGTATGATAGCTGGAATTGACAATGTTTGCGATAAATTTTCATTAAATATTTATTGCAGTTCTTTAAACAATTCACAATCGATGTTAATCATCGAATAGTCCATCTTGCTTTGATCCTCTTCAGAGGAAAAGTTGAATAACGATACCTACATTGTGGAAATTAATAAACATTGACACATACCTTGTTTTTGTCGGCGAGCTTCCCAACTTCGGCCTGCGAACAAATAATTTCAAACTATTCACATTTGTATGTGTTGATTTGCAAATACACTGCAAATGTAAATCAACTGTTATTTAAAATATATGATTATAATAGGAATAGGTAAATTTTGTTAAACATTTGACACAATAGAGAGAGAACACATCCCTTTTTTTGTAACTTATGATCCGTTTTATGTACTATACGGCCTGAGAAGGAATTTTCGTCATTCTAAAAAAGCAAACTCGTGTTTTAAAGGAGAGACTAAATTCCAAAAAATAAATAAAAAATTGGGCAGAGTAATTTTTTGCCAAAATTTGGCGGCGTAATTTTTTGCCAATTGTATGAGGCAAGTGTATCTGAAATTTTTTAGAAAATATTTTGAAAAAAATAATTACTATTGTAGTTTTACTTTAAAAGTTTGCATAATTTTTTCAAGACTCATAAAACTATCTATTTTTATGAATTCTGAATCAAAGTGTTTTGTTATAATGCTTTGAAATAACATTTTATAAAAGTATTGTGACACCGTACAACGTACTTATTTTTAAAACCAGATAGAACCCTGAAAACGTTAAATAATTGTTTGTTTGGTTATTATTTATAAATGAAAATAACAATTTATTTAAGTTTAATAATTTGGTTTAATGAACAATGTATTAACAAATTTTTACTTTATAGAATGAAAATCAATCAATCAATTAATTAATTGATTGATTGATTAATTTAAAAACCAATAAATTAAAATTTGTTTACTCGTTGCGAGGAACCCAATTGCTGAAGCGCAACATGACGTTACAAAAAAGATTATGATCATGTCTGAAGTGTTGAATGTATTAAAATTAATAATTTTTGGGTAGGTTGGATATTAATCATCCCATCTATAAATTTCACTGAAAATGAAAATGGAACAGCAATTTGGATCACTCATTTAACAAAATAATCATTATGAAGAAAATAAACAGCATATCAAGGTCGACAATAATTAACCTCGAACGTAGTATAAATATTTTTTCGATTTTCTCTTTTCCCTTCTTTCATATATTTCCAAGGTTTTCTCTTTCTCCGTTTTGCGTTTTCTATAATTTTTTAGGTTTATACTTTCAGCATGCAGTTTCTGTCTCTCCTTATTTAGCCATGTTTTTATTTCTTCGAATATAATTAGTCTCATTTTGTTATTCATCAGTCTCAATTTTATTTTTTTACCGGCCACGTCATCAACTGAATCGTAAACTTCAATCGTTTCATCGTATTCCTCATCTTCGTCCCCACCCTTACTCTCATCGAAGTCAAAAATTTCTATGTTTGTTTTTTCTTTGTTTTGATTGTGTTTAATAAAAATATCCGAATCAATTTTTCTAAGTTTGTATTTCTCTTTCATCGTACTCTTCACTTTTGATATTTTTATTCTGCTTTTTTCAAATTTTATCCTTTCCTCTTCTTTTCGCTTGCGTTCAGCTTCCTCTTTTTTATACCTTTCAATTTCTCCCGTTAGTTCTTCTTCAAGTTTTTTTCTTCTCCTCTCTTCTTCTTCAAGTCCTGCTTCGGTTTCTTTTCTTTTTTTTTCTTCTTCTTCCTTTTCCCTTTCCATCGTCTTTCTTCTTTCTTCTAATTCTTCCAGTTCACGTGCAAACTGTTTCGTTTTTTCTTCTTCCTCTTTCCGTATATTTTCAATCCTGTTTTTCTCTTCCTCCACGTCCTGAAGTTGTTTCTCAACTTTTTTTCTTTCTTCTTCCTGCTCCGCTCGTAATTTTTCATTCTTATCCCTTTCTTCTTCTACCTCTTTATGCCGCTGCTCAAGATTTATTCTTTCATTTTCTTTTTCCGCTAACAATTGTTCCGTTTCGTTTTTTTCTTCTTCTATTTTTTTAAGCTGTTGTTCAAATTTTTTTCTTTCTCCTTCCAGTTCCGCTTGTGATAGCTGATTTTTAGTTTTTTCTTCACCAATTTCCTTAAGTTTTTGCTCAAGTTTCTGTTTTTCTTCTTGAGCTACCGTTCGTAGCTGTTCATTTTTCTTTACCTCTTCTTCTATTTCCAGGAGTTGTTTCTCGAGTCTTTTTTTTGCCTCCTCTTCTTCCTTTTGTAATTGTTCAATTTTGTTTTTATTTTCTTCTACTTCTTTAAAATGTCCTTCAAGTTTCTTTTTTTCTTCTTCTTCTTGTAACAGTAATAATTCAGTTTTAGTTTTATTTTCGTCCAATTCTTTAATTTGTTGCTCCAATATTTTTTTTTCTTTTTCATGTACAATGCGTGATTGTTCCGTTTTGTTTGTCTCATTTTTCAACTTCTCTAGTTGTTGTTCAAGTTGTTGCTCAAATTGTTTCCTCGCCCAGTCTTCCTCCGTTCGCAGAAGTTCAGTTTTGTTTTTTTCTTTTTCTGTCTCTTCAAGTTGTTGTTCAAGTTTCATTTTTACTTTTTCTACTTCCGCTAGATTCTGTTCTGTTCTGTTCTTTTTTTCTTCCAATGTAGCAAACTGGTTTTCGAATTGTTCTTTTCTTTTATTACTTTCTTCTCGTTGAAGTTCTATACCTATTAATTTTTCTTGTTCGGATTTTAGTTTTTGAGTTTCTTCTTCTATTTTGTTTAGATCAGCTGCATGTTTCTCTTCTCTTTCAGTTTCATTTTTTTTACATTCAGCATCTCTCCTTTCTTGTTCTTCAGGAAATATCCTTGCATCATTTTTTGTTTTTTTTAGT